CTTACAATTACTCCTATAGTTACCTATGTTTTTGTTTTGTAGGTAGGCCAGGTTTCAATGGCTTCTGCCCCTTAAAGGTTTTGAGTGAATTACCTCATTGTTTAATCATCAAATTCATGAGGTGTACCTCAGTTTTCCTCTAGTGAGTTTCTGCTGTTACATTTATGCAGACAATAGCCAAGAAGCATTATTACCATAAAACTGGGGAGTTTTAAGTGTGAGATGTGTTTCCAAGGCCCATTATTAACATTCTTAAATGTTTTTCTTTTTCCAAAAGGAAATCATGTACACTATACATCATTACAGGGTTCCTCATGAACATTAAATTTAGCTCAGTGCTAAACAGTGTTATTAGCATCAAATAACAAGTAGTTCTGTGGATCTTACATGTAGGTGTTTAAATATCCTGTGATAGCATGCCTTTTATTTAGACAACATAGCTTTGAGGCCAGTCTGTTTAATACCACCTTGAAATCTTTGCTTATGCAGACCCCCTTTTGTATCTGTTTTCACATTTAGCATTGCTTATACACACCTCTTTTCCTTACTTAGGGTTATTTGTTCTATTTGTAGTTCTCAATTTTAGATTCTCTTATTTCTAGATTTGACTTTTTTTCACCTTTTTTTCTAGAGGGTTACAATTTGAACTTTCTGATTTCAGGTTAAAAAAACAACAAATGGTTTGGGAGCACTTTAGACTAACAAAACATGTAGATGGTATCATGAACTTTCGTGGGCTCATGATACCATCTACATGTTTTGTTAGTCTATAAAGCGCTACCAGACCATTTGTTATTTTTTTCTGTACAGACTAACTTGGCTACCCCCTGAAGCTTCTGGTTTCAGGTAGTGTGCTGATCAAACTATCGTCTACCTGCAAAGCTTCTTTGTGCTGCCAGCTAGGTCATTTGCATTCACAGACACTTTCTGGCTTGCTTTTAGATTCAAAGCTATCAGGAGCTTTATCTTAAAAAGGTACACTATCACTTTTGCCAGACTTAGAGTGTTGAGTTCTTTTTACTAGTCCTGCTCTCTCACAAAGCAATCTGAAAAGGAAATTACAATCTGTTGTGGAACCTGGAACCCTCATAGGATTTTAATTTGTTTGCAGTTTTCACCCCTTCTACGGTATACGTTGCATGTCACAAGGAAAACATGCATTCTTTTTAGTTCATATAACATTACTTAGCCATATTAATTTTTGTATAGGGTGTAACTGTTTCTTTTATGCTCACAGAGTTTTCCTGTACTTTTATTAAACAACTTTGAATGAAATGGCTTTATTGAAAACAAAACACACAATTCATTTTAAGCCTACAAAATAGGAGTGCTGGATCTTAAAAATCTCACCTGTTTACACAATATATATTTATATTTACACACAGATACATGCATATATTCTCTGAACATTTCTAACACTGTTTCTACATATCTGTACAAAGATTACATTCCCTTTTATTCATTTGGGGTAGTTAAGTTCCAATAGAAACCCTTAATGTTCTTTTAGCAAATTTGACTGAAGTATCCATAATCAAATTTATCAGATTGTTTCTTTGCCTAGATTATTTGCAATCATTCTTTCGGAAAAGGGCCCATTTTTCATTCAGAATGGCTGCAAAGAAATCAAGAATTCTTTTCCTATAATATTTTAGCATTTTCACAACAACTGCTAAATTCCCTCCAGACTCTGTAAAGTTAACTTCTCCCTGGTTCCTCCCGCCTTACAATGCTTGCTTATCTCATAAAATGAAAACTACCATTGGTTCAGCTATTACCATTTTAAGTATTATTTTAAGGATTTAAATTTCCAGTGCCTGAATTTACTGCTTTTTCTCACTTCTGCCACAATGCCATTAAACTCTCTTATCTTTTGCCTGCCTGCTTGTCTGGGCCTGATCCTCTTTTCCTTGCTGAATGGCCCCTTTCCCTGGACATAGGCTGTCCCATTACCAATTTAGCAAGGGAGGGTGGGCTTGTTCACTAGCCCCAACACCTTCTGGTCCTTTTTCTTAAGCATATTCCTGAAAAATTTGAGAGTGTTGCTTTAACTCTCAGTACCCATCCTTACGGTTGCCAGGTGTCCAGTTTTGAACTGGACAGTCCAGTATTTGAACATTCTGTTCGAGAAACAAGTTGAGAAAATATAAATGTCCAGTATTTTCTAAATAAGATGCAATGTAGATTGTGATGTAATGTCAAGTGTGTCCAGTATTTTTGTTGAAACCATCTGGCAACCTTACCCATCCTTAAGGGAAACTAGCCATGTCCTAGTACTGAGGGACATGCATTTCCACCTCTTCACTTCTGCAGCAGAGGCTTTTACATTTTGAAGTTTCATATTTGCATTCTTATATTCAGTCAATTTGAGGAACGCCTCATTACAGGTTTCATAGGAGCCAAACTATGTCTGCTTTTTTTTATTGCTACTTTATTTGAGTTGAGGGCTTTTATATGAAAATATTTAGCCAATTTTTTTTCTAGGTTTGCAGTTGTGTGGATGTCAGCAAGAGCCTGTTCCATCCATAGGTTATGCCCAAATTTATGCAGGCTTTGTTTAAAAGGAATCTCTTTTATATAATTCAATTTTCTTCCTGATCTCCCTCTCTTATAAGGGTTACTACACCCTCCCTGACCCCAGATTCCCTTTTTCTAAACATTATTGAGAATATTCCCAGCCCACAATGTTACAAAGTATACAAAAACAGTATACAAAACCTCTTACAATGTTGCAAAGCATCCCACAATGTTACAAAGTAAATGTTCCCGACACACAGTGCTTTAAGCAAATATCTCCAACACAGTGTTGCAAATCTGCAATATGACTGGAGGCACTAAGCTCCGTCCTTGTCTTGGGATTCTACGGCCGAGGGTATCTTATACCGGCAATTACTATACCCATTCGTAGTCTGGGGGCAGGGACCCTAAAACTCCCAGAGTCTCAGGACTCTATGGCTGAGGGTATAGATACCTACAAACTCTTTCTTTACTAATTTATCTTAGCACCCTTACCCTGCGAGGGGGAAGCAAAGACTCCAGTGGTCCCCAACCTTTTGGGGCGGCCGGGCCCGGGAGTGGAGCTGCTCACATGCCGCGCAGCCAGGGGCAGGGCCGCACAAGCGCCATGTTCCCAGGGCCGGCACCATGCATGTGCTGTGCTCCTGGGGCTGGGGCCGCCCATGTGCCTAGGGCTAGCACCGTGCATGTGCCATGCGCCCAGGACAGGGGCCACCCATGCACTGCGTGCCCGGCACCAGCACCACGCATCTGCTACGCGCCAGAGGTGGAGCCAGCTCAGACCATGCGGTGGGTGCACATAAATGCCCTGGCGGGTGCCATGACACCCACAGACACCACATTGGGGACCACTGCTATAATTCATGGGTTCCCAAACTCGGGGGCATGCCCCCTGGGGAGGTGTGAAGAAATTCCAGAGGGGCACGAGGCAACTCAGCCTCTGCCCCCATCAAGTTTTGCTGCCCTGTTCAGTTCCTTTTTTTTTTACTCCACAAATTTTGCTGCTATTTTGGGGGGGGGATGAGGGTTTTTTAACAATCAAAAAGGGAGGCATGATGCCAAAAATTTTGGGAACCACTGATAATCATTTTTCTAACCCAGGGATTCTACAGCCAGGGGTGTGCACACCTAATTGATTGATCACTGTTCAGTACTCTGTTTCAAGGTTTATCATCGCTTTTTCCACATTTTTCAACATTTATCCTTCATTATCCAGTACATGCTCATGGTATCTTTCCCCCTTTCACAATTCTCCACCAAAAAGTTGTACTTAAAAGTGATGCATGGGATCTTTTCAGGTGGAAAAGGCAAAATGCCACATTTATTGGTAGCACATATATCAAATCAACACTTATCATATGCATATGATATATCTCACACACACACACACACACACACACACACACACACACACACACACAGTCTTGTTGTTGTTACCAATAGTTGCTCCCCCTAATTGCACTGGCCAGGTGAGTTAGGTGGAGGAAGAGTGGACCCAGGCTTCTGCTGATCCGGATTGGTGCTCCTATTTTGACAAGACAAAAACCCGGGGTCCCTCTACAAGACTTATAGTGTCTTCCCTCTCCTGCAAGTTAGTCATCAGATGCATATGCATCATCTGTGAGAGTCATCATATGCATATACAGTTAGACCTCTGTGGCACCTTCTTCTGGGTGGTGTCTCAATGCTGCCACATTGTCCGTCAAAGAGGGTGCTTCCAAAAGCAGGCACTACTGACTCCCAGGGTGTCCATATATCCAGTCTTCTTTCAATGAGCCCATTTCACAGGTCCCATTGTTCTTGGATCTGGCTTTCACCTCCCTCCAATCTTTGCCAGTGCCTTGAGGTGCTTGTTTTTCATGCCTTATCCATTCACACCTCGTTCACTCAACTGGACAATCAATTAAGCAAAAGAGGGTACAAAGTCTACAAGATACAAGGTTTCTATGTGTAAAGACTTAATGCAAAGTTTCTATGTTCTATAGGAAAGTATACAAAGTTTCTATATAAAAGGACTTAATGCAACAAAGCTAAAGACTTATTACAATGCTAAAAAGACCATAGAAAGTTAAAATAAACATTTCAACGAGGAAATAATTAATACAGAGATTAATGAGACATATCTACACAGCTGCCTGCCTAAAAAAACAGATGACTTTGTTAGTCAGAATTCTGCTCACCCTGTGACCTTTTGGCAGTGTGGCTAATGATACAGGGGGTTGAGGTTTGCCTCTGGGAATGCTGGTGGTAATAAGCTCTGCCTGTAGATGGATGGGTATGATAGGTCACTCTTTGCCTCCTATGGCTAAGGGAAGGTATAAAAAGAGAGATGGGGGAATTCTAGTAATCCCTTTGAGGCCCTGTGCTGCAAAATTTGCATCTGGATTTTAATGTTTCCGATGTTCGGAACCATGTCTATAATTAATTGCAGCCAGCTTGACTGTGATGAAGGTGTTTGTTCCATTTCTGAATACTCCCTTTCCCAGCTCTCCCAAACTGCGCACCTTGGCAAGAGGTTTGTCTCCAGGCTTCTTGAGATTCGGTGGCACCAGAACCGACTTCTTGATCTTTGATCCAGAGAAGAATTCAACTTTAGAAGAGAGAGACTTGTGGGAACTGCAGGTGAATCAAGGTAAAACCAGTGGGAACATATTAACTATGAAAATGTCTTTGATTTAAATTAATAAAAACATGAAAAACGTGCTTTAAAGCATGGTGCAGCCACAGTAGGACAGCAGCGGTCAGAATGCTCAACTGGGCAGCTTTCAGATCCATCCTCACATGTCAATGGACAAGCCTCATGTTGACAGGCACGTTCTGCATCCCTCAGGTCTAGCTCCTAGCTGCTGGGAGAGGCAAGCACAGATGAGTGGAACCTGCCATGGAGGCTTCACTTAGTGGTAACTCTAACTTACTGGGCCCAGTGCGTTTTAGGAGTTTCTTCTCTGCATGGGTCATTGGAAGTGTCTTTCTTCCTATCACTTCCCAGTACATCACAGTCTGCGGGCCGCCCTTTCTCCATCATCTGGCTCCATAGCTTTCTTTACATTATGAGCTCTGGCAGGGACTTTGTGTGAACAAAGCCTAGCACGTTCTGATTGGTACCAGAGTACAAAAAACAAATGATGACAATTGAGAGGCAGGGTGGAGAACTGGTCACATTAGAGGCAGAATCCCTACCTAACAGATGGGAAATCTCTCTCTACTGAGCTACAGTTCCATACAATGTCATCCGAACAGTGTTCCCAGCCTCTGCCCTCACTAGTAAGAACTGGAAAATTACAGCACCATACAAACACTAAACCACTAGCTGAAAAACAAAATAGATGGAAGAGAGGAAATTATTTTGCTTTACCTTCTTGGGTGGGATGAAAGGCCAATGTCCAGGTATGTCGTCCACTCTGTCCACTTCCAGTGACATGGAAGGAACCACGGCTGTCCTAGGAGACAGAGGCTTACTACATGTTCCATGGTTTACTTCCAGTAACTTTAAGAGAAGCAGAGTTAGGACAACATTGAATGGTTTAGAAAATCCCACCCTTATATTTAAATAGCACGGATAGCTTTTAAAAAAGAAATTCCACCATTTACTTCTGGACAGGAGGCTTGCATGTGCCAATTTTAGCCTCTGCTGAATTTCGCTGAGAATTTAACCACCTAAAGTTGGGTTCACTGATGAAAAATCATTCTGTACAGTGGAATGATAGTAGTGTTAAACTGAAATATTTCCTATACTTTTCCCTGCTCTCCTTCATTGTTTATGAATGTTTACTGTCTGACAGTGCTGGTGTAGGTTTATGGATTCAGTCCTGTGGTGTGTGTGTGGGTTTTTTTTTTTTAAATACTGCCTGATGGACAAACTTAACATTTCCAGAACTTCTGCCAAGACTCTTGTAATGAGATCAGCAGTTCTCACTGCGTCAAGCAGGAAGTGTGTTTTTTCCTGTTTTGTTCAAAATGAGCTGCTGACCTCAGTTACTTCTCGCACTGAGGGTCTTTATTAAAATGGTACATTGCCTGACTAGTTTCTTTACATACAAGATTTAAAGGCATTAGCATGATCACTCAGAGAAGTACCTCCAGCAATAACCAATGTATCAAATCAAAGCCACCTATAGTCCTAATTCACCATATTCCAGCACATCCTGTCTGTCTCCACTCTAAATGTTTTAAAGAAAGGATGTGCTTTACACACATCTAAGCTCTTTCCAGTAAAGGAAATATTTTTGTTAAGTGGCAAAAATCTTAAAACCAGTGGAAATGCAGTACCATCAATGTAAGTACTAAATATGCTTAGATGTTGATAACATGACTGTCTTTATTTTGATTTTAGAGTGGGGAAAATATCAATCCAATCATTCTCCTTTCTTTAATGTTTAACATATCGAACTTGGTAGGAGGATTTAGCCTACAGAAATTCATGAATGAGCAGCTCTGTACAAACGTAACTTTCTTTATGTGGCATACAATTCTCCATTTATTGTAGCCTAAGCACAATATCATATTGTGACTGTTGTGGGGGATTTTTTTGGGGTCTGCAGGTATTTGTGGAGTAAGATCCATTCCAACAACTGTGGAGGAGCTACTGCTATCTCAGTGGCCCATCCAGGAGAAGACACTCCTTAAGGAACAGGCCTGGAAAAAATACGAAAACACTACCATTACAAGTAAGATGGTTACGACAGTACCTGTTAATTGGAAGGTCTTTCTTGTGCTGTAACATGCAATGGGGAGGTTGCAAAACTATTTGAGTTCTTGGATAAAATTTTCAAAAGCAGCTTTGACAGCAGGGCTCCTAAATGCCTTTGAAAGTTTAAATAGATAAGGTAGGTGAGGTAATATCTTTTATTGGACCAACTTCCCTTGGTGAGAGCTACAAGCTTTTGAGACACACAGAGCTCGCCTTCAGGTCTGAAGCTCTGTGTGACTTGAAAGTGTGTCTCTCACCAAGGGTATGTCTACACTACAGCATTATTTTGAAATATCTAATTTTGAAATAGTTAATTTCAATGTGTCTACACACAAAATGCATTTTGAAATAGCTTTTTGCTATTTCGAAATAGTGTGTCCACACTGATTGGACGCTGAATCGCATAGGCTCCCAATTTTGAAATAAGCTATTTTGAAATAAGCTACGCAATTGATGTACCTCAATTTGTGTAGCTTATTTTGAGTTAATCCCTGCTGTGTAGTAGATGCACCCATACAGTGAATTATTATAATAACCTACAGCGTTAAAAAAACATGAGATTAAAAATGTTGGGTTTTTTTTATTGACCTTTTTGAGCCTTTAGTGTGGATCACAGAGCTGGTCCAATAAAAGATATTACCTCACCCATCTTGTCTCTCTAGTATCCTGAACCGATGTTGCCTATGGCAACTTTGAAAGTTTGTCATTGAGCTGCATCTGAAAATGTTCCCAGTAGTGTCTATTTTCTCTTTAGTCATTTGCACTTGGCATTGACAGGATATTCGGCATCTTGTAGGATAAGACCTTGAAATTATAAAATTGGGGGCTGTAATGCGCTACATACATCTTCAGCACTAAGAAAATAAATAGGCTGTATATTTGTTCTATGTCAACTGGCACTTCAAAACTGTGAGGAAAATAATCCCCTCCCCCACTTTCATCTTACAGGAAGTACAGTGGACATTCTGTATAGTTTTGCAAAGTGTTCAAAGCTGGATTTGATCTTTGGTCTTAATGCCTTACTCCGAAAAGATGGCTTGCAGTGGGATAGTTACAATGCTCAGTTGCTCTTGGATTATTGTGCTTCCCAACATTACGACATGTCTTGGGAACTTGGGAATGGTAAGTGCAGGTCATGAGGTGTGTGTGTGTGGTTAGTCATAGTAAGTTTCAGATAAGCATGAGATGAGGTAAGTAGAGAAGCCCTCTTTACCTAAGACCCAGGAGGTTGTGAGCCTGCCTGTGAGTTTTGACTGATGTCAAGACTACTCTACAAAATTAAGGCAACCTAACTTACTTTGACATATAGCAGGGATGGGCAAAATACAGCCTGTGAGCTGAATCAAGCCTGTCATGGTCCCAGGGCCTAGCAGGAGCCACAGGCAGGCTCCCTGCCTTCCACGCTCCTGCACGCTACTCAGAGCAGCTGGCTGCAGTGGCCATGTACTCTCTGTGTGCCACATGCTGGAGGAGGGAGCTTTGTGTGCTTGCTCTCTCTGCCCCCAGCACAATCTTGCAGCTCCCATTGGCCAGAAACTGGCCAATGGGAGCTGCTGGGGCCATGCTTGCAGCACAGGAAGTGCACAGAGGACCCTTCCTCCCCGCCAAAGGGCACAGACCTCACAGAGATGCACATGACTCCTGCAGTCACCAGCTCTGAGTGACATTTGAGGGTGCAACAGGTAGGGAGCCTGCTGGGCTGCTGGCTGGGAGGTGCCTAAGGTAACCACCTCCTGGCCAAAGTCTCCACCTAGCACCCCAGCCACTCCATCTCCATAACCCTCTGCTCCACTGCCTGCACCCCTGTCCCAGGTGACAACTCCTTCCCAGACCCTATACCTCCTCCTCTACCCTACCTCCAGGTCAGAATCCTCTCTTGCACCCATACCCCTCTCAGACCCTGGAACAAGCTCCTCCTGCCTTAGGTCACAACCCAAACCTCTACACCCCATCCTGCACTCCTATTCCAAGTCACAACCCCCTTTCAGATCCTGCACCCCCCCTACATGCCTCCTCCAAGTTGAAATCCTCTCCTGCATCCCACCTCAATCCCAGACCCTGCACCACCTCCAATAACATCAGGAGTGGCCCCCTCCGCATCAAAAATTATTGCACAGCCCTGGCATATGGCCACCACAGTAATTACATCACTTGTGAGTGTCCACACATTGCTCCTTGTGTAAGCAGTGTGTATCCTCACTAGGAGCATTGGTTTCGATTGTACTGTCAGTGTGGGGAATTGTGTGATCGCTCCTGAAAGCCAGTAACAGTTAATAAAGCAAAGCAGTGTCTACATGCTGAGTTGACCTAACTACATTTACCTTGACTGTATGCTGCTTATGAAGGTGAAGTTAAGTCAGTGTACCAGGGCAGTTACAGTAGCAGGAGCAAAATTTAAGTGTGGACACTTCCGTAGTTAGGTCAATGTAAGATACCTTGAGTTGACCTAACTCTGTAGAGTAGACCAGACCTCAGAGGGCAAAGAAAAGGGTTTTTTGCTAAACTTTTGGGCAGGGGGATGTGTCTGGGTGAAGGGGGGATACCCAGAAACTGAGGAAAGAATAGAGAAAGAGGCAGAGGCAAAAACCAGGAAAACCAGGCTGTTGCTGGTGGGCAAAGCTTAAAGAAAGCTCAAGACATGGTTTTGCATCTGTTGGCTAAAGAGACTTGGGTCTGTATGCTAAGACACTGCTCCTTTTTGTTCTTCATTCCGCCTGCATTCAGAGAAACAGGACTTTGTTTGCTCCTTTTAAATAAACAAGATTGCATCAAAGAAAATACCCCATTACTACTAATTTCTGCTCACAACAGGAACATCCTCAGGGCCCCAAACTTTGCGTAGCTGCTTCGGTTGAAAGGGGCCGCAGTATTTTGTACAACTGCAGAAATGCAGAATTTGGGCTTGTATTTTGCACTCTTTTGCAAACTGAACTATAAGGCTCTAGAATTTTAATTGGTGTCAGATGGTTTCACAGTTAGAGATGGGGAGAATCACAGCTTTGGGCTATGTAGCTCCGCAATGGTACTGGCTGCTGTCAGAGACAGGAATCTGGACTAGATGGACTGTTGGTCTGACCCAGAACATTGATAGCAGCAATCCATTAGGGAGCCACAGTGGGAAGAAGTAAATTAGGGGAGCAGTGCTGGGGTCCAGAACAGCAGGATGTCAGCCAATGCCCCCCCAGTCACTATTGCTAAGTGGGAAGAGATCTGGGGTGAT